GTGGTAGAGTAGTAGCAGTTGCAATAGTGGTAGAGGGTGGTAGTGATGGGGGTAGAGGGTGCTAGCAGTTGTGATAGTGGTAGGGGGTGGTAGCAGTTGTGATAGTGGTAGAGGGTGGTAGTGGTTGTGATAGTGGTAGAGGTTGTGATTGTGGTAGAAGGTGGTAGTGATGGTGGTAGAAGGTGGTAGTGATAGTGGTAGAAGGTGGTAGTGATGGTGGTAGAAGGTGGTAGTGATGGTGGTAGAAGGTGGTAGTGATGGTGGTAGCAGTTGTGATAGTGGTAGAAGGTGGTAGTGATTGTGGTAGAGGGTGGTGGTGGTGGTTGTGATGGTGGTAGAGGGTGCCTTCTTCACTGATTCAGGGATTCTACTAACTCTTCCAATGTTGTTGGAGTTCTATAAGGCTACAGAGAACACCGCTGCCTCAGCTGCTGCTTCACCGCCATTATGGATGGCTTATGCTCTCAGTGGCCCTTATACATCCAACAACAACAACACCTCTTGTGACATTCATAATGACTTATTTTATTCATTCTAGAGTATATTCCGTGTTTCTATGTTATTAATATTGTTTATTATGTCATATATATATTAGTTGAATTGTGATAGATAAATAAGCCAAAGAGTTGATATTAGTGTCATATTCTCCAACAATAAACTCGCCTCCCCTCCCTCTGCCATACACCAAAAAAAGTCTTCAATAAAGGTAAGTGTGATGTTAAATGTTCATTTATACATTGTATTACTGCTTTACATTTATTAGGCATTCTTTTCTGCATGTAAATCTTTATTTAAGCTAGGGAAGTGACCCCTGAAGTGACCTAGAGTTCTTATGGAGGGGGATTCCTCTTCCAAACAATAACCTCTCTTCACTCTCTCCTCCTCCCTGTCTTCCATTCATCAACAACAGCCTTCAATAAAGGTAACTGTCATGTTGAAAGTTCATTCTCTTGTGCATGTAAATATATCTTTAAGGTAAAAAAAAAAATTGTTGTTGATACTTCTGGGTGTCTGGAATGAATTAATTGGTTTTACATTATTTCTTATGGGGAAAATGGATTCGCAAATCATCAATTTCGATAATAGTCACGCTCTCTGGAATGGATTAATTATGAAAAACGAGGGTCCACTGTATGACCAAAACTCGCTATATGGCTCTCCCCACTTGACTTTCTAATATGGTCACTGCGCCCCACCCGGTTTGTGCACATTCTCTGAGCTCCATGAGCACCATGTCTCTCCATTATGTCTGGAAACCTTCCAGAATTTCAAGTGTTTTAAAGTTATTTCATGTTTTATATACGTATACTCTGATAATTATACTTGTGTGTACCTGTATCCAAATAAACTTACACACTGTGTTGGCATGCAGATACACATTAAAATCACTAAGAGTGTCTTATTAGTCTTGAGGATGCCACATTAATAATAATAATATGCAATCGTAATCACTGAGGCACATTAAATGTTGTATATCATGTTAATATAGGTATCTTCATTAATCCAGCGATGATATTTTTTTCAGAATTATATAATAAACATGCTACGTAACATATAAACATGATAAATATACCCCACAGTAGAATAAACTAACAAATATGAGATGTTGTACATACATGTATCGTTTATTCATTTTACCTCATTTATTCACCTCTCGCAACCCCAATTCTGAAACTGTCTCCCTGTGTCACAAAATATTCGAAAAAAAAAAAAAAAATTATTTTTTCTTACCAAAATGTTAGGATTAATTTGATGAGCGTTTTAAACCTAAAAAAAAAAATTGTGATCAGTACTTACTGAGATATAGAGGCGTAAAGTTGGCAGAAAATGAGCCGCATATGGCAACAGCAGCAAATGCTGCTCATCCGGTATAGCACTTATATTTACTCCCATTCGAAGGTTTCTTGTATTTTCCAATATTTGTTTTTTCCAAGTAATTTATGTGGCCTGTGAGACCAAAGTAAGGTGCATTGTACATATATACACTCCTATGCAACACAATAACCGCACAAACATTATTATCATTATATTGTTTACAAAACTTGTTTATGCAAACTAACAATACCAAAAATTGTTTATTACTATTGTTCTATAATATATATATACACATATATAGTCACTGGACACTTTCCTACAACTGCTATTAGCATCTGGAATCGTGTGTGTGTGCACTCACCTATTTGTACTCGCATATTTGTGGTTGCAGGGGTCGAGTCATAGCTCCTGGCCCCGCCTCTTCGCTGATTGCCGTGTGTGTGTGTGTACACTCACCTAATTCACCTAATTGTGGTTGCAGGGGTCGAGACTCAGCTCCTGGCCCCGCCTCTTCACTGATTGCTACTAGGTCGTCTCTCTCTCTGCTTCCTGAGCTTTATCATACCTCTTCTTAAAACTATGTATGGTTCCTGCCTCCACTACTTCACTTGCTAGGCTATTCCACTTCCTGACGACTCTATGACTGAAGAAATACTTCCTAACGTCCCTGTGACTCGTCTGGGTCTTCAGCTTCCAGTTGTGACCCCTCGTTCCTGTGTCCCCTCTCTGGAACATGCCTTCTTCCCCACCAGCCTCTCTTCTTGCCTACCTGTCTTCTTTCCTAACCTCTTCTTTCCTTTCATCTTGTCCTTCCTTCCTTTTACCCTTCATTCCTTCCTTCCTTTCATATTTCTTCTTTCCTTTCTTCCTTCCTTTCTTCCTTCCTTCCTTTCTTTCTTCCTGTCTTAATTCCTTCCTTTCCTCCTTCCTTACTTACTTACTGCTTTCCTTCCTCTCATCTCTTCCTTCTCTACTTTTTCTTGCTTCCTTCCTTCTGGTATCTTGGGTATTGCTTTCAGTCACAAACTCCTCAAAAACCATGAAATTCATCTTCAGAGATACTTTCATTTGTGTTAGAGCTATCACTGGGGAAGAGAAGAGTCCCAGATTCGCCAGGGAGTCTGATATTTCTTACCGTTAGGCATGAAATGGCATTCCCACAATACACCACTGGCTCCCCGATTTTTTTTATACTGCACACACTGACCATGGAGACCCATTCTCTCACATGTGGGCCTACTACCTTTCTCGCACTTGATTTGAAGCCACTAGAATTTACGCATATTAATACATCAAAAACACTGGCTCGTAAGACGTATATATAAGGCCAAAACAAATATTTGAAGGTAAGTAATGAGTGTGTTGTGTGTGTATTTTACTTCTTATTGTTTTTAATTCCTAGTTCTATTGCTAACTTAATATATGTTAGTGTAAACTTGTTATGAGGCATTTACATGCATTGATAAGTGGAAAAAATGATGTTCTACTTTCCAGTGGTAGCCTGGAACCTAACCTGTTGTATAAGTGTGGCCCAACTGTATATTGCATTTCTGCACAGTGATGCCACACTGTAGCTTAAATACACTCCATTTATATAAATTAACTCACTATCCCTGTGAGTAGTTCCACTTAATTTAAATTTAGTAGGTCTTTCTCATTATGTATCGATACCCTAATCATCTCACTATATGGGATAACTCAATCCTTTCTGTGAACACTGGAGACATTTGTCAACCAAGTTTTAATGTCACTTGCTGGTTGAGGGATTTGCCTGAAGCAGATCCATCATACTTCACTATTTTTTCCAAGTATTTTATCACTACACTGTACAATGAATTTGTCACAATGGTTATACACTATGTTTTTCAAAGAACACTTTCTTTTCACTGCACTATACTGGAATCATTATGTTTATGCACTGCACACACAGGCATTGGCAGATAGGCCTGTGAGGCTGATTGTTCCCACTAACTCACTTTGCAGTTTGTTTTTCTGAACCAGTCTACTCCCTTCACTACAGTTAAACATTTAGGCCAGGGTCTCTTTAGCCACTCCACAGTAAAACAAGTTCAACATTAATAACACTTCCTTCAAATGGCAATACTTCCTTTTTTCCCAACAACACTGGGTTTAAGTTGAGTCCTTGGCACTTTTAATAATTTTTACATTTTCCACTTAAATTATACAAGGGATCACATGTGAAGGACCTGGGAGCAGTAATGTCCGAAGATCACCTTCAAGGATCACAACAATGCCACTATCACATCTGTGAGGAAACTGATAGGATGGATAATGAGAACATTCAAGACAAGAGATGCCAAGCCAATGATGATCCTTTTTAAACCACTTGTTCTCTCTAGGCTGGAATACTGCTGTACATTAACATCCCCATTCAAGGCAGGTGAAATTGCAGATCTAGAGAATGTACAGAGAACCTTTACTGCATGTACATGTTCCCTCAAACACCTTAACTACTGGGAATGCCTGGAAGCACTTGACTTGTATTCACTGGAGCAAAGGTGAGGGAGATATATTATAATCTACACCTGGAAGATTCTGGAGGGACTGGTCCCTAATCTGCACACAGAAATCACTCCCTACGAAAGCAAAAGTCTTGGCCGGCAATGCAACTTACCCCCAGTGAAAAAATAGGGGCGCAACTGGTACACTAAGAGAAAACACAATAAGTTTTCCGGGGCCCAAGACTGTTCAACAGTCTCCCACCAGCCATAAGGGGAATTACCAATAGACCCCTGGTTGTCTTCAAAAGGGAACTGGGCAGATACCTAAAGTCAGTGCCAGATCAGTTTGGCTGTGGTTCATATGCTGGACTATGTGCGGCCAGCCTCGTTGATCAGGCCCTGATCCACCTGGCCCTGATCATGGACCGGGCCGCATGGATGATGATCCCCGGAATGCCCTCCAGATAGATAGTGTTCACAGCCAACAATATAACCATTCATGTCATTGTTGTCTCTTTTCTGCAGTTTTTACGCTTGAAGAAATGCTGATAATGCTTAAGATATCAGAGCCAGTGTACATACATGTGCAGAAAGGCACTATATTTCGATCTGTCAGAGCTTAATTAAATAAATGACCATGGAGCATTATTCAGAAATAAAGAGCAGCAAAGCTAATTAAGTGTGCTAAATCTAAGAAAACAATAAAATGTACAATTTGTTTACCATTATGGCTTGTTTTATTCCTTTTGCTGATTCTAAAAGTGAACGAAATCCTGCAGCTTTGCTTCGGAGACGCTCCATAAGCACTTCCATCTGCCATGCTGTACTAGGTATTGTTGTGGTGATGGTTGTAGTCGTCACCGTTATGGGCGATGCTGTAGTGCTTCTCCCTCCACCTCCATCATCACCTGCAAATAGATAATTTTACTTCAGTCAAAGGCTTTTCATTCAATTTACAATCAAATTAAAAATGTTCCCCAGACAAAGCCTACAGACAAAAATCACGAGAAATTATGGAAATACTGCATCAGAGGACCTTAATACTGTACATGTATCTTCCTTCAAACAATCTATGATAAACTGGAATGCAATGTCTACATCACAAAGCAAACTGACAGTACAGTACTAGTAGCCAGGGTGGTTAAACCTGAGACTGGATGGGAAGAGCAATGAATCTTTGAAACTACAGTACAGTATTACCAGGTAATCCACAAGATTTGCAAGATAAAACAGACCTTCGATTTAAAAGAGATGCGTTCATGGAAAATTGTACATAAAATGAATCAGCACAGATTGAGTATAATGCAATTTTTCACCAATTATCTGAAGGAAAAAGGACCTGAAGCTTTTATATAAATGAAGGTTTGTGGAACAACTCAACAACAACAACAAAAATGCTAGGAGATATTATATAAAAGAATGCCTGCACCAGGCATAATTTATTGTCACTGGCCATAATTATTATTAAAATAAGGTGGAAGTGCAAAAACCCATAAGAATCATACAGCACATGCAGAATGGAAAGTAATAAGGTTCGATCCAAAGAAGTGGATAGGTTCATCTCCTCTGGATCACAAGTCCTGCACCAGCATCAAGGCATCTAATGTGAGGAGCACATTGGCCAAAAGTGTCAGTAAATTTACAGAAAAGGTAACAACCCCCCCCCCCCACTGCAATTTAAAATGCTAAAGGATATGCTGGGTTCTTAAGTCAGGTTAGCACCCTGTGGGGAGAATAGAATGCTTCTCAGATTTTAATCAGGGAGAAGCAATAAATCTGTAGGGATCATATAGCACCAGGTTCAATCCAGGGGAGGTGAGGATGAGTCCTTAATCCTAGGCACAAACTGCTTAAACACCACCCCTGCATAAAGGTGACCAGCATTGGTGATCTCTGATGAAGTCTCAATATTGTAGTTTAAATGTTTTACCAAGTCTTTCCAAACAGTAAATTATCTCTCTCTCTCTCTTTTTTTTTTGTTTTAGTGTAGATATCTCGCCTATCTTGAAGGGAAGCGGAAAGAAAGGACAGTATTGGAGAGAAATGGTGTAAAATACTGATACACTGGATAAAAACAAATGCAGTATAGTGTGATCCTTTATTGACAACGTTTCACTCACACAGTGAACTTTATCAAGTCACAAACAGATTTGTTGTGACTTGATAAAACTCACTATTGGTAAAACATTGGCAATAAAGGATGGTATTATACTGCATTTGTCTTTATGCACAAGACAGTATGTATTTCAAGAGAGAGAGCTTAAATGTTTTGAGGAGTACAATGTCTTAATCAGCACGGCTTCTCTTGTTTTAAAAGTTCTCAAAATGCCTAATGTTCACGATACTGGTTACATTTACTAAACTTGTTTGTAAACCATGTTTTAATTTTTAAACTAAGAATTTTTCATTATTTGCTTTACAATATTTATTTGATAATTATCAATCCTGTAGTACATTTAATTTTAATTTTACTGCATGTACTTTTTTATTAATCACAATGGCCATCTTCGAGTGAGGCAGGGTGACCGGACAAAGAGAAAAACACTTTCACCATCACTCCTTTAATCACTATCTTGCCAGAAGTACAATGACATCACAGGTCAAATGACCCTCCAAACTGCAACATCTCTTCCCTTCATTCTGAGTACAGGAATTGCACTTCCCACCTCCAGGACTCAAGTCTGGCTTGCCGGTTTACCTAGTTCCCTTCATGAATATTATCCTGCTCACACTTCAACAGTACACCAAATCATAAAAAATCACCTACCTCTACACAACCCTACTTAACATGCTCACACAAGCCTGCTGGATGTCCAAATATTGTACCACACAATTAGTATAATCAATATTGTTACTATCATTATCTAATATAATGTGGTGTTTGGGAATTTCTGGAGAGCGAGCTTGAGAATGATTAAAAGTCAGTGTGTTGTCTACCTTGGGTAACCTACCAGTGTGAAATGGCAAGTGAAGAAACACTAACCCTTTGACTGTTTCAGTCGTATATATACGTCTTATGAGCCACCGTGTTTGACGTATATATCCTCATAAATTCTAGCGGGTTCAAATCAAGCAGGAGAAAGCTGGTAGGCCCACATGTGAGAGAATGGTCTGTGTGCACCACATAAAAAAAATCCTGCAGCACGCAGTGCATAATGAGGAAAAGAAAACTTCGACCATTTTTTAAATTAAAAAGCCAACTTTGTGCTCTATTTTCGTATTGTATTTATGGTTGTATTCTCGTTTTCTTGGTTTCGTTTGATAGAATGGACAACATATTATAGAAATAGAGGTGATTTTGATTGGTTTTGCTATGAAAAGAACCTCGAAATGGAGCTCAAAGTAGAGGAAATTTTGATTTTTGCCGATGTTCAAAAGTAAACAAATGATGTCATTTTCCAACATATTTCCAAGTAGCCATTCTAATATGCAGTCATGAATGAGTTGACATTGTTTATACAATTATTACAATATTGCAGTAGTCTGCATAACAGTAAATCTTCTATTTTTTGTTTGAATAAAAATTCAAAATGGAAAGCAAGAGTAATATCAGAGGGGCCTGGAGATGTGACTGATCAACAAAGAAAATGTTACTTTAGAGCCAGGAATGTCTGCATTGTTCATTCTGGACCCTATTTTGAAATTGTCATATTTTTTAATTTTCGTGAAATTGGCCAAATTGCAAATTTCTGATCATGTTATTAGGTAGTTGAAATCGGTAAATGGGCAGTTTCTTGTACTCCATCAATGGAAAAAATGGCATTATAAAGAAATAGCTATGAGTTTGGTCAACTGGAACAATGGAATTAGCCAAAAATAGGGCTCAAAGTGGGTGAAATCGCTGATTCGTAAATATAGCCAAGGTTGCTAACTTCACAATAGCGTAATTCTGTCGGTTTTCCATCAAATTTCGTTCTTTTGGTGTCATTACAATAGGGAAAAGATTCTCTATCATTTCATAAGAAAAAATAATTTTTTTTTTTTGGAAAATTTGCAACACCAGGAGACACCTCAGGATTTGGGGTTGAGACAGTCAAGGGGATAAAACCCTGATTTAGGTGTTATTCGAATAGAAATGCTAGTGCATGCTGGACGTCTCCAACAGTATTGTGGCTAATTTATAAAGTACCCAAATATGTAACTACAGTCTCTCCTCACTTAGCAACGTACTCATTTACAGATGACTTGGACTTACGACGGGCTCTCTGACCAGTATGCATACGTACCTAAATAATGTATATTAGAACTGATTTCCTCTATTCTGTTTATTACAATATACAGTACACTACTGTATAAACATTTAAAAACATACTGAAAATGTTATAAATGGTGCAAGGGTGACATAAGAGCAATATCAAAGATGGCTGACAAACCCACTACCATTATAGTATGCTCCTCGTTTAACAACGAATTTGTTTAGTGACAAATTTGTTTACCGATGCGGTATTAGAAACAGAACTCTGTCGTTAAGTGAGGAGAGGCTGTACCTGTTTACAGAATGCAAGACAGCATTATATTGTTTGAGAATAAATATAAAAAAATATTTTACTGATTTGAAGCCATGTGTATCATCATCATGTAACCTGGCACAAGAGTTCCCCAATCTTACCTATTGTCATACATTTCTGTGTACCTCACCCTGTTTTGCAGATATTGTACTGGCAGGCATACCTACACTGCATACATGAACACCTACAAAAGCTCCAAAACTGCAGGGACACATTTTCTACATAGTATAACTTGAATCTATCTACAGATTTAAAGGTCATGGAGATTAGGTATTTTGTTAATGTCTGTGCATCAGTTGCACTGTAGCTACTGTATGTGAACCTGTTTGGACTCATGATGGGAGGGATGAAGATACAGTACCATTAGTATCTTGCATCTTGCACAGAATGCTAGCATCAGTCTATTTATAGTCTCAAACACGATTTTATAATACATACTTCAGAACAACACAGTTTAAAGACAAGTTTAAAAGCCTGCTGTCATGTATAGAACTGAAGAGTTAATTCAGCCCCTGCCTGAAGACATAACCCATGCTTATGATGAAGAATTACAGACACTGAATTCTGGACCTCCCTGTTAAGACATGCTGACATTAATATTTGCAAAGGTACTTTTGCTCTCATATCTGTATCTACCTTCATTTGACCTCTCTCGTCTGATATTTGGGTCTTCCCTTAAGTCGACTGTAGCGTCAGGCAGCACTAGCACGTCACACGTCACCTCCCTTAACCCAGCACCTCACAAGCGTTTAAACCAACAGATCCAGAACAAACTGACGGATCTGGAACAAACGAAGTGGAAGATTTATGCCGGAACAAGCAGCTATTCGAAACAAAACAAATATATCATCTCCATATTTTACTTATTTAGTCTCCTTTTCACCTAATTCCCCTTATATTTATATATTGCTTGGTTTAGATGTCTCTGTATTAAGACAGAGAGCCACCTGTGGCAAAAAGATTCTTCATAAATGTCTTAACTAAGCATTAGTGTCTTTGTCCACATTGCCAGATATAGATAGGATGTTAAGAATAACTAACCAAGAAAGAACTGAGGATTTCAGCACCAGCCTTGATGGAGAGAGGACATCTTGCACTTCCCAACTCATAGCACTGGTGACAAATTCCCGTATTCTCAGTCCTAAATCTACACACTACCAAAATGTACTGGAGTGAGAGATACCAGCAAAAATATAAAGTAAACCCAATGAAAAGCAGGGGTGCCATGGGTAGATGCATTCAGAGAACACTGTATTAACATCCTTGGGGCCTAGATTACCATCTTATCAGAAGATTTTAAAAGCATTGCTGGAGCAAGTATAGAAGTCTTCCAGAGGAAGCTTGACAAGTACTTTTGCCAAGTGCCATATCAACCAAGCTGTGATAGATATGTGAGCTGGCAATCCACCAGAAGCAACAGCCTGGTTGAACAGGCAAATCCCAGCCAAGCCAGACCCAGGGCTGGGCTGCAGGGGTAGAAAAACTCTTGATATTCATCAAAGGTATTGTATATCCTTGAATGCTTGTACTCCTCATACACTGCTTGCTAATCAAGTGAGTGGCCAAGGCTCCATGTTTCTGCTACTTTTTTCTCCTCCACAGATTTCTATGGCCTGGGGTAAGTCTTTTAACTGACTTAGTGGAGTGCGGGCATCTTTATCTACTGGGATGCAGGTGGGGGTCCACCTGATCTAATTTGGAATTTTTTTGTTTCCATTTCTATTCTTAAAAAATGTTCCTGTGCTCACTTCTCTCCCAGCTTTGGTTACTCTATAACTATATTACCAACCCATAAACTGGAAAATATGGTTCAATACAGCATAAATTGTGGTGGATGCCTAACAAAGAAAAAAAATGAGAGAAAAACAATGAAGTCAAGCTAGATAAATTCAGAGGTATACAAGACAAAGTCCAGGTTTAGCAATAGAGATGCAATGTGCAGTACATTCCGCCAAGTCATGATTGCAACTAATACCTAGAATAGCTTTAAAAATGGGTTAGACAAATATGAGTGAGTAGAGTTTGATACGAGGTTGTGCCCAGCATAGACCTACTGCAGTGCTCCTTTAGTCTCAGATGACTTCATTAGAATTGTATCACAAAGAGATCACACAGCACCTGGGGAACAGGAGGAAATCAAGTTGATTTGAGCCAGAGGATAACAGTTCCAATTTTTGAGGTGCAGAGCACTTGAAGAACATAAAGGCAGGTTTCTTGAAGTGATTCAACACAAAACAGTTGATAGGACCACAAAAGTTTCTGACAGTATTTTACTGTCATTATCTCACCTCCAGGCAATCTCTCAAAAAGTAATATATATTATTACTATTGTAGTCATGTTAACGAAGCGTATTTCTCTGGAAAACATTGATATAAGGAGTGTGGAGGACTTACTTTGAGTTTTGGAAGTAGTGTCGAGTTGCGGCCTCTCTGTGGAAGCCATTTTCATGTGTTTACTAAACTTGTTCGTTTCCACAACTATCAACCACTGACATTCTTCACGTTTCTTGTATTGTTAATATTGCACGCAGGTGTGAAAACGAACATTATCTGTTAAACACATATGTGGTATAAGGTTATTGGTGTAGGGGCGAGATAATAGGCAGTAATAATGAGTAATATTGGATGAATGCAAGGATCTAGACACTGGCCGCCATACTGCCTCCCAGGCCACACAACACATTATATTGCATTACCTCAATGAAATAATATCCTTCACTCAACATTTAACCCGCAAATGATGCGGTGAATTTTTTTAAACTTGTCGGTTGTGTGGTAATACTGCTATTAATGATGATAATTGTAGCTGTGAGGAGGTAGTGGTGGCGACTGTCAGGTGTTTGTTAGTGTTGGTCAGTGTTTATGTTAGTGTCTATCACCACTATTACCACTACTATAACCAGTACTACTGCTCTACCACCACCAAGGTAACTCAACAACATTAACATACACCATGCTTCCAACACTACACCTACACTTTTTTTTCTCTCGCTACTGTTGACAGTTGGATAAGTGTCGAAAAGGTGCTAACAGAAGGGGCGTATACATCTCTTTTTTTTCATTTTCTGGTGTTACTACTTAAACTCCTGTCTTGCTGTATACCCACTAGTGTTACTATTTAATCTGCTGTATACCCACTAGTGTTATTTAAACTGCTGTATACCCACTAGTGTTACTATTTAATCTGCTGTATACCCACTAGTGTTATTTAAACTGCTGTATACCCACTAGTGTTACTATTTAAATTGCTGTCTTGCTGCATACCCACTAGTGTTATTTAAACTGTTGTATACACACTAGTGTTACTACTTAAACTGTTGGCTTGCTGTATACTGTGTTAAATTGTTACTATTTAAATTGCTGTCTTGCATTGTACTCACTGTTACCACTAAAACTAGTCATTCAATATGTACTTGACTCCCAGGTGTATTTTTTATGTAAGCTCTCCAGCATTGTGGACCATGCTGTGGAGACTAGGAATGTGTCATAGCATCAGTATCAGCGGGTATTTGTTGATTTTAGTGTAAGTGTCATTATTTGTGAAAAAATTGCTGATAAAAGTCAATACTTTTAGAATATTTTTACATGGACCCCAATGGAAATAGTCACTTTGACTTATTTGGGTTATCCTTGATAATTTACACATGTTAAACTATGTGTGATAATTGTACTTATGTGTACCTGTACCTAAATAAACTTGCGTGCTTAAAAAATAGTAAAATTAACACGTGGCATCATGATTATGAGTTATTCACATACTCGTACACACACATGCCTACAAAGTACTTCATAAATAGAACCTTGATTTAAAGTCTCCCCATTTAATGGATTTCAGAGTTAAATAAAAATCTGTGGCCAGACAACATTTTGAAGAAACCGACAAAGTCCGTTAAATCCAGTGGTGTTCATTATTCTTGTGGTCTGCTGGGTAAATTCAGTTTGGATTTATGTGACTGCCCATTAAATCAGAATTGTCCATTATTTTTACAGACAATTCAAGATTTAATGGGCTTAGTCTGTCAAATGATAAAATTGTCAATTACCGTTATGATCATGGAAAACATTTTAATACTGTACCATAATTTGGATTCAGACGACAGTTGGCATTAATGGACACCCCATTTCCCCCATTAGGGTGCCCCGTAGCTTGAACCTAGCACACTCAGCTCCACACTGAGGTCTGGAGATCGAATCCCCAGTATGGCTTGAAAACATTAGGAAGTGTTTCCTGGAGACACCTGCTATCTATGTTCACCCATTGGTATAATGGGTACCTAGGTATTAGTCGACTGGTGTGGGTCGCATCCTGGGACAAAATTGACCCAATTTGCCCAAAATGCTCTGCATAACAAGTGACTTTCTGTAGAGTAGTATGTCACTGATGTCATCTAGGCTTGTATACCTTGCACATGTTACTTGTAGAAATAAAGATATTATTATTAGTCCATTAAATCAAGGGTTCCCTGTACTGCTGTCCCCCTCCATACGTCATTCCTTGAGAGCTCTGTGGGAAAACTGTCATCTCACACACACTTACATATCAGCCATACAGCTCAAACACTGGACCTAGAGAGATTCCTGAATCCCGAGTGTAAGAATTTTTGCTTCTCATTTGAATTTAGCACCTTTTGGCTGATATTTCTGTTATCAAAGAGTCCATGGCATTCATTTATATTTTCAGCACTTCGATGTCCTTGCTCTACTGTCTTCTTAGACAGATTTTGGTTTCTTGGATGAAACTGACTTATAATAATAATGTTTTTCTTTATGCCATACAAATATTGTAGTAGTTTAAATGAAATGGTACAATAGTAAGCACAAAAAAAACACTAATTATGCATTGTATTTCAGGCAACTAATCTTAAGGTTTACATGTTACTTAAGAATTAGACACAAACTACTAAGTAGGACTTCTTGTGCAGTTAACTACAGTCATATGTATAATAAGAAAGGTAGCTAAAGACAAATAGTCCCTTACAAAAGAATTACATATTATTTAAATTGATGCAGTGATTTTAAGTTTTGTGGAAAGATTGAGTAGAGACAGTGAAGACACAGCAGGTTACTTAGATTACAAATAAAATGGGACAAGATATGTTACCAATTATGTATTGGAGTTGAAGGAAGGCTGGAAGAAGAGCAGGGAAAGAATTGGATGAAAGTTGTAAGTTTACTTAGGTATACATAAATACAGTGTATAGCTGGTTATGTTTGACAAAGCATATTGCTGTCTCAATTACATTAAGGAGATAAGATGTTTTTTAACAATAGCTCTTACTACTGTGCATTCTACATATACAGAACAAGAAATTCTAATACTTAAATTATCTTGAATTAAAGCACTTCCTTGATAGTTGCAACAAAACCCATAGACATAATACTAGACACAGAAATTTCTGACATGCCCATGTCTGGCTTAATCTTTGTAAAAACCCAATGTGCATAAAAGGATCCAAACTCTGGAACTCTCTGTGTGAAATCTCCAGAGCCACTCTTTACCAGCATCTTCAAACCTACTGTAAAAAACACCTGCTTTCACTAACATAGTCCAACAACAGCCTAATATGATAAAAGTATATTTTCATATTCTCACTGCCACAAGCATATGGAAAACAATATACATGTATTATTATTATCTGTAATCTTCATAACTATTAAATACACTGTATATTGAATGTGTCCAAAATATGTATTCAAAATATGTTGTTAAATTCCTCATTACCTGTAATCATAAGCCAACCTGTAATCCTTAAAACAATTAAAGTCCATAAAAGTGTTTATTGTTAAAACCACTTGAGACCTTATTTATAAGCAGTCAAATAATTTTGTCTTAGTGTTAAGATAGGCTTAAGTGTGCCCAAAATGCTGTGCATACTAGGGAACTTTCTGCATGCACACCTAAATGTCGCACATCTCTGTACAAACATTGTATCATGCTGAGATAAAGAACCTTTAATCTTTATTGGCAGACAGGGAACTTTTTGATGCTTCAGGAAGGGAGTTCCAGTTCCTTTACACTTAATGTGTTGTCATGTAGTGTATGCAGTGGCACACTTGCTTTTACTGGAGATATTCTGCAGTGTCTGCTGAACCTCTTTCTTTTCATAGGGGTAATTTTTGTGTACTTAAAACAAAATGCTCTTTCAACTACCCCACCATCGAACCCCCCCCACCACCGTCAACACCCTACTGTTGGCACCCCACCGTCAACACTCCCCCCACCGTCAACGCTCCATGCACCATCGACACTCCCCCACTGTTGACACTCCCCCACCGTCGACACTCCCCCACCGTCGACACTCCCCCCACCGTCGACACTCCCCCCACCGTCGACACTCCCCCCACTGTCGACACTCCCCCCACTGTTGACACTCCCCCCACTGTTGACACTCCCCCCACTGTCGACACTCCCCCACCGTCGACACTCCCCCCACCGTCGACACTCCCCCCACCGTCGACACTCCCCCTACCGTCGACACTCCCCCCACCGTCGACACTCCCCCCACCGTCGACACTCCCCCCACCGTCGACACTCCCCCACCGTCGACACCCCCCACCGTCGACACTCCCCCACTGTCGACACTCCACTTTTGAACCCTCCCCCCACTTTCCCTCCCTTTCAGTAGGTGCTTTGATACTGGAGGTCTATTTTCCAAGGTATTGGAGCTATCCTCTCCCTCAGATTAAACCTTATTACTGTCCACTCCCCTGTTGCTTTACGAATCCAACAGTGTTTCCACATGAATATTATAATTATCATCTCTTACATTTCTCTCTCCATCTTTCACATTTGTTTTGCCCTCATCTCTCACACTTGTCTCGGATTCTCACCTTTCACACTTGTCTCGCCGTCTCATCTCTTACTTGTTTCGCCCTTTCATCTCTCAGTTGCTAATGTTCTCACTTTTCTCTCCTATTATGTCTCAGCGATGTTCTCTCACTTCTCTCCCTGCTGTTGATATCCTGGCATTAATAATCAGCTTTTCCTCTAATGTACATCACCCAGCCAGTCGTGTCGCACTCTGTGATCTGTGCAAGTTTAGTGCTTTTCAGGAATAAAAATTTTATTTGCATCATGAGGCACTATTCCATTTTTTTTTTGTGCCATCACTGTGTGGGTAGCACTTGATTGATTGATTAACATTGTGAACTGTTGTCGTCAGTTTTAACACCAGGCGGGTAATACCATGTTCCTTGTTACATCAGGTGGGTGATGCCATGTTCCTTGTTACATCAGGTGGGTGATGCCATGTTCCTTGTTACACCAGGTGGGTGATGCCATGTTCCTTGTTACACCAGGTGGGTGATGCCATGTTCCTTGTTACACTAGACTGGTGATGCCATGTTCCTTGTTACACCAGGGGGGTGATGCCATGTTCCTTGCTACACCAGGGGGGTGATGCCATGTTCCTTGCTACACCAGGGGGGTGATGCCATGTTCCTTGTTACACGAGGTCACTTTTCTTCAGGGGCATGGCGGTGGCAGAGGCTGTAATGGATCATTTGTCTTAGTAAGCTTATTATAATAGTCTCATATTAGTCCTTTACATAAGTGAAGAATTTATTGTCACCTTATTAGATAAGACACTAAGTAAGTGGATGAATGTTCATTATTGTGTTCTCCAACAGTAGTAGTCTTTGTATGCTCTACAACTAGCGCTTATTTCCTCTACT